TTAAACTACTGCTCCTCTTGGCACCTCCTACTTCTTTTCTCTTTTGGTCTACCAGAGAGTAATGTGCAGGTTCTGAAACGCCCTATTCTCTCACAGACTCTATTCTACTGCTGGCAATTTAACTAAACTATTCATCTTCTGAGAGTTACATTTCCCTTTTTACAAATGAGAAGGCAAAAAGGTGGTTATAACTTTTTCTTTCTGCCAACTGAAAATCCTCAGAAAGAAAAAAGGAGCCATGCAGACTACACATTAGTTTGTCCACAGCTTTATTTAACTGACTCCTCTTCAGCCAAAGCAAAGTCTTCTATAGGCAAGTGCAGGAGAGAGCAAGAGCCAACATGAAGTGTACTAGGGAACTCCTTTTTCACTACCTTAAAAAGCTCCTAGGTACTATGGTGATGAGAGCCTAAAATAGCTGTAAGCTAGAAATGTACATCCTAATGACTTCCTATTATGCTACAAGTTTTCTAAAGATTTGTGGGAGACTGTCTTAATGATAAATTATAGTGTGTAGATAGAAGAAGGACTTAATTATCATGTTCTATTTTTACTCTTGTGTGAATCTAAATAACACTAAAGGATAACCTAATTTATGTACTGGATACAATTCTTGCAAATCACATGTTTAGAAGAGGATGTTCTTATCTTTTGCTCCTATGGCTAATCCAAGCTCTTTTCAGTATTGCAACAGATGCTTTGTGGCTATTTTTCACTGCCTCACAGGGTCATTGTTCATAAGAACATGACAGTACTTTATTTCCTTTGATGATTTTTTCAATTGAACTTACAAAAGGTGTATTTTTGCCTTGTCACTGTTTGGGTGGAAGTGACAGAGGGACTTGTGCCTTTGAGCTCTCTTGTCTTTGGCTGTTTTGCAAAAATAGTCTCTTCAAGCACCAGTAACAGCTACATAACAGCATCTCATCTGCTAAAATCTGAAGAGAGTTCAAAAGTGTGCTTAGTAATGAGATGCTGATGGAGTATCATTCTACAATAAATCTTCCATGAAGGACAACTGTATCCCTTCTCCTTACTTTACAGATGTAGTGATCACAGTTTAACAAAGGAAAATGCTTATTGATATTTCACACTTTGGTTTTAATCTTTCTAACACCCTCCTGAAATTTTTTTGTATTCTTTTTCCTTGGAAAGAACTAGCATGGGAGATACAGGGCTAAGGTCACTCACTAAGGAATATCTACAGAGTATTTGTGTTAATAAAGAGAAGTCATTTGAAAATTGGTTAATCTTCTCTCCTTCAAAGCAAACAGATATACAGAAATAAAAAAGGAAACTGCTATGAAATGCCTTTAATGTGAGCCTTCTCTGTCTATACTGCATAATTATTAACATTTCATTCAGGAGGTCACATTCATCAGTCTGTTTAAATCAACAGTGCCAACTGTGTCATGTAAAACTGTGGGCAGCTGGCACGGATGCCTGTGCTTCAGCCAGCAGCCCAGGCAGCTCCTACCAGCCCCCAGTGCAAAGAAACTGAAACTTCTCTGGAGTCAGCCTTGTTCTACATCCATTTCTTCCTCCCAGCATCAGCCCCTTCTACCAATTCCACTTGGAGCTATGGACCCCATTTAATTTTCTGCTGCAGGTGAATGAGAGTTTGAAGGTAATTTGGAGACTGTCCCTGGATATTCTAAAAGGTGATTTCTGAATAAACAAAATCTTTTTTGGAAACAGTCAAATATTATCTAAAAACAAATTACGTACTGAGTGAATGAAGTAGATGTGGATCTCCAAGGCTCTCAATTCATTGAATGGGTGTGAAACTTTTAGGCAACTAAACTGGGATTTTGACTAAGGTGATTTTGGTCACATTACACAAATAAGACAGGAGAAAATATTTATGTTGAAAGAAGTACTGTCAGGAAACCTTGATAAGATGTTGATTTTTCAGCCAAGGCAATGATTTCACTAGAAAATTCTGGTTGAAAAGTTTAAAAGAAGCAATCAGAACATCAAAACAAATACAGGTAAAAGTATCTACATCTTTTATATGTTTTTACCCAGGGTGTTGAGATGCACCCACAGCATTTATATTTTTACATACATTCGTGTTTTCCTTCATAGATTGATTTGTCTCTATAGAAATGAATAAATCTGGAACAGTAATAGCAATTTTACAGGTTTTAAATCCCTCATTCATTGTTCAAACGACCTTCTTCATTCTTCTAATGTTTCCTTTGACTTCACCAGCAGTGAGTGACTTCACCTCTTCGTTCAGTTAAGCAGGTGAATGAGGACACTTAGAAGAGGACCTTACTCCTCACATACAGATGACTTTCACTGATGTTAAAAATGGTTCTCCCTCAGTAATGCTCAGGAAAGCTTTCAGGCTTTGTCTCAATATTTTTGCTTTTCAGTTTGTTTCAAAAGGGATTTTTTTTCCTTTAGTTCAGGTTGTCAGTGATGGGAATATCAGAGTAAAAAGCTGTTTGCTGCAACAGGGGCAAAGAAGATGAGACTTTTCTTGAAATTCAGCAGATTTGATTTCCCTCCTGAGTAGTCACAGCAAAGACTCACAATCTACTATAGCTTCTTGATGGGATTTTCTGTGATGTTTCCCATACTGAGGCCAATGTTGTAGTCTGAATTTTCAGATCTGACTCATGGTTTACCATTAACCACTTTACATCATTGTTGCTTTGTACCACAGGAGAATGTGATCCCTTGACATTTGAAAATGCTAAAGTAACTGTGGCTCTTTTCTGAAATTCCCTTAAGATAAACATTGCTTTTGCATTAGTTAGATGGTTTTGCTGGTCATTGAGATTATCTCCAGATATTCTTTCTTACTGAAAGCAAATGTGCTTATCTTCCTCTGCAGAAGAATGCAAATCCAATTACAAGAAGAAGAGTTGCATGCCGACAAATTATGCTCTACCTCACTAGAGCTCTGAGAGGATGAGAGTATGGGGTCACAAGGTGCTCCTCTAATGCATTTTAACATAGCATATTTGAAAAGGGAGAAATGCTTTCAAACAGTACCTTGTATGTCACAGTATTTTCAAATGTGATATTTAGGCCAGAATTGTGATTAAATAATTGATTTAATTAGATTTAAAATAGCAGGAAAAAATAAATACATATATTACATATTGTAGGTATGGTAAATATGTATACTTATACACGTAGATTACATATAAGTGTACATGTATTGTATGCACATGTATTATTCTCTCTATATTGCTCTATAAAATATATAATTATTCAAGGTACATTAAATAAATAAATATACATATATATTCATGTTTTAAAATCCTTATAGTTAGCTCATGCTTAATGAGACAAGCTGCTAAACTATCACTGCTCCAAACAGGCTCCTCGTGACACGTCTGTCTCCTGACAGCCTCCCAGCTGCTGCCAATTTTCCTTTTCTAACTAGATCCAGCCATTTTGTTTACAAATCAGCTTTGTTTTTTAGTCAATTTAACATGTTTCAAAAGTCCTGTAGCATAATTGGCTAATTGCTTACCAGCTAGGAAATAGTGATTATGAGTTTTTCCTTCCACAAATCCCTGCAGTCAGACTTACTTTATATTCCGGGGCATTGATAAGTCTGTTTAAAATACAATTTGAATATTTAGAGGGGGAATCTGTTTTTGCAACCTTCAGTGTCAGTCTGCTCAAGAGCACTTCTTTATCAGGAGCATGTCTTTGTAATGTAAAGTGCAATGTGGCTTCAACATCAGCATCACAAACGTGCAGCAGTAACACAAACCACGAATGCTGTGACTTCCCTGCTCCTGACAGGTACTGATGCCTGTTTCCATGGCACTGGCTCAGATTCCTGCCAGTCCTGAGCTGCAGATTATCGGTCTTCCCTCATCCAGCTGTCACTGTGTTGTAGAACATTTTCCTCTGACATCAGAGTGCTCAGCACTTTAACTAATGTTCTCCATGTCTGGAAAAACAGGTGTATTTACCCAAAATAATTTTGCATCTGATCTTCAGTTTTAGTCTGCATGCAAGTGTGGAGAGTGAGAGAGGGAGAGATCTACTGCTGAAGAAATTACTTGTGTGAGTAAGGCTGAATGACATTTATTACCGAAACTCCAGGAAATCCTCACTGCTTCTTGTCCTGCTCAGTGTAGGGGGTGTGAGGTCAGCAAAACAGAGCAGAATGCATCATCATTCATTAAGTGCAGAGTCAGAGCTTAGGAACCAGACATTATACATTAAGCAGAAGACATTACTTGGAATTCAACGCCTGTTATCTATGAATTTCAGGATGTTGCTCGGGTATGAACTTCTTGAGATAATATAAATCATAGAATAAACTCACAGCTTATTGTTCAGTGCTGGGGATCTCCCTGGCCCCAAAGAAGGAAGATATGGACTACTTGCAAACCTTTGTCTGTGCTCATGAGAAAAGAGCAGAACCCTTGAAAGGTCTCAGAGACATCTAGAGAAGAGGAAGAGGACAGCAGCTCTTGGAAACTGGATGTAGTAGTCTTTGAAATGGTACAGGGGGTTTTGATTAAAACCACGCAGATCCACACACCCATCACCTAGGAGCTCAGGCAACCACAGTCTGGGCATGGAAAGGTTAGCATTTAGAAGGATGTCTGGACTTTATACCTGATTAATCCATCATGAAGGTATGCCTGAAATAAAAGGTTTTTCTTGTAGCAACTGCAATCAGGTAAAGTGCTGTTTGCTCTGTCTCTTTTTCAAATGCACGCCATGTTAGAACAAGTTAAAATGAAGAGACGTAAACTGTGTTGTGATTTCATGGCATCCACATCAGTAAATGATGAACAAACTTGTTCTTGCTTCTTTTCCTCTAGGTGTGGCTAGAATGATGCTCCTTTTTTAGACTCAGTGCCCCAATAGCAGGGGCAGAAGGTGCTAGAAGAAAGGTTCCCTTCTCTCCTTCCCTTTGCTCTGCTCCCAACTGTGGTCTTCCTCTGAGCACTGTTGTTGTGCTGCAATAGGAAGCATTTCAATGAAAGGGTAGAGGTGTAGAAAAGGATCCTCACCTTGTGCTGAAGCTTGAAGTCCCAGAGGAGCAGATCTCAGCTGCTCACAGAAGGTCACACTGGCTCAGGAGAAGGGGCTAATGAGAAGAGAAAGAATTCATCTCCTGCTACCCACAGAATATTTATACATATATATGCATACATTTAAATACATATCTTCTGAGGAAGTCCTGTGTCTCTGTCTTTTGGGAATTTAACTCTGAGTTACAGTCTGAGGGCTAGAGGGGAGACCAGAGGAGATGAGTGTCATGTTCATGTTTTGGAGTCTGAGCTCTGACCAGGGAGATAAATAAGAAGAATTGCTTTTATAATATCTCTTAATGCCCTTCATAAACATTCATTTTTCTTACAGAGTTTTGCTTTCCCATTGTGTTTGAGTATCCTTCCCTTTGTTTTTCCAGTTGTCCAGTACACTGTTGTTCACTTCTTTTCCTGCCTATATGCTGCTCCAATAAGTTCCCTAACATTTTTTTAGGTTCCCAAAGAGTACCTGAAGAACCAACATTACATGGGGTGAGATGAATTATAGTTATACTAAGTGTAAACTGAAGCATAGAAACTTTAAGACAGGGGATTTCTGGTGGGAGAAGCCTGGCCTCTGGAATGCCACTTTCCTGCTTTACCCCCTAGACTCCAGCCAGAACAACATTGTAATCTGGAACTGAGCAATGAATTTTTTGGTAAATTCTGTAAATCTCTTTCTTTCTGTAAATCTCATGCTCTCTGTATTCACTAAAGCCTAAGCTAATGGCTTTCTTGAGCTTTGTGTGCACACTCCTCAGGGGTGTGTGCACAAGCCAAAAAGGAGGGAAAGGAGATGGCTGTAAATACTTGGCTCCAGTGTGTGCATTTCATCTGTCACAAGGGAATCAGTAAGAAACATTTGAAAAATGCAAGCCAGTGCAATTTTTACTGGCCAGAGGCAAAGCAACATTTTCAAAACGTCCTTTGAGCAGTTCTTCTATGAGAGATCTTCATGTACATGCAAAATGTATACATGTTAGTTGGTAGCAGGACAAAAAAACAATACTAATAAAGAAACTGTTAGGCAAATATGCCAAGTCAGCCCCTATGCAGCTGAGCTGCAGTTGACCAAGAGATGAATACAACTGCAGAAATCAGCAGTGGCCTCGAGGAAAAATTATACAAACTTATATTTTCAAAAGTAATTTTTATAATGAGAGTATCATTATGAAAATCCAGAATAGAATGACCACATCAAAATAAAGGCGCAAGTAGAAGAAAGGGTCCCAGCCACATATCTAAAAGGGAAGTAGAAAAATTAAAGCCAGAAGGACCCACTAACAAAAATGTGCATATTTCCCTTAATTCAGACTTGCTGACTTTCAGAAAAACTACTTGATGAAGATTCAGAGGTAAGGTTTAAGGCAACTTTGCATTGGCTGAATCCAACTCCTTATCTACCATAAAGGAACAGAGAAAGCAGGCAGAGCAATCCTCAAAAGAATTGGCACTGCAGATTTTAGGACTAATCCCTTATTTATTAGTTTTGCTCTCATTTGGGAACCAACCACCTGGCTTGAGAAACATGGAGACTAAAAACCTTAAAATCTCCTGCTATATTTTGATCAGCTGTGTTTGGACAACCTGTGGTCCAGGCCACTTGTGTGCTGTATGTATTACCATTGATCTCAGGTGAGAACATGAAAGAGAATTTTTCTGTTTCCAAAATTGTGTTTCATTTTTAAGAGCAGCAGCTGGATGTAGGTACATTCCTTTATGTGAATTTAGCTGCTGATCTGCATGGGCAACTCATTACTGGAGACTAAATAATGTACTTTCCACTCCCAGCCAAGACCCATCTCCAATGTACCTGATTGGCTGGAGCCATGGGAGCATGATATCCCTAAAGCATGAGATTTTCAGTCTAGCAAATCCCATGCGGTTGGGCTTTTAACAGTAGCAAAGACTTTTTTGAGACCTTAAGGAAGTGGGGACAACTTCATGAGGTGTCAGAACAAGACTTGGCTCTCATTTGCAGGAGATGTAAAAGCTAGGTAAATAAAAGAGGGCTATGCTGAAGCATAACTAGGGTACTTAAGCAGTATTATCCCATCTGTAAAGAATTGAGACTGTTCATGGTCTCGCTTGCAGGACACTGAAAGCACTGCCACACACTCAAATTGTGACCATGCTTTCAGGTCTGATACAGAAGAAGGTGCTCCCACCCCTTCACCATTCTCTGATTAGAAATGATTGGAGGAGCCAAAGCGGCTGCCTATTTGAAGAAGATGGCTGAAATATAATGGAATTGCACAAAAGTAGTAGAAAAATAGTGAGAGAAGGTTGTGCTCAGAGAAATTAAGTATAATGCGTTCTCTCCCTTCCTTTCACAAGAAGGAATGTCAGATCTTTGATACTCCCATTTCCTGTCTCTTTAGGTTGGGCAAGGAGCCAAAAAAACAGTCTCATGAAAACAAGAAGCAAAAAATAAAATGAGTTTGAGGTCATATCAACAGTATTTCATATGAAAGCATGTCTTGCATATGCTTACCATTCAAGCTTCAGCCAAAACTCTCAGATGGAAACGTATGAGTAGAAGAATGGGTTAGGGAAATAAATGACTCTCCAAAACATGAATGCTTTCACTTCTTTCTTTGAAGAGACATGACATATACACTTACTGTAGGTGTACTGACTGAGAGAGGACCTCAGTAATATCTAAAGGAAGGGTGTCAAGGGAATGGAGACAGGTTTCTCAGTGGTGACAGGCAATAGGACAAGAAGCAATGAGTAGAAACTGGTGCACAGCAAGTCCCACCTGGACATGAGGAAGAACTTTTTACTGTCCAAGTGACCACACACTGGAACAGGTTGCCCAGAGGGGTTGTGGAGTCACCGTCAGTGGAGATACTCAAGAATCATCTGGACACAATCCTGTACAGTGTGCCCCGGGATGACCCTACTTGAGCAGGGAGGTGGGAACAGACCCTGTGCTCCCTTCCTGCCTGACCCATCCTGTGATGCTGTATGTCAGAACATGCATCTAAATGGATCCTATCTGAAAGCTGTCCATAAAGGAATTATTCAGGAGCTGAATTTACTCAACACTCAGTATTTAAAATGCACAGAATCATGCCATACCTGGAATAAATTTTTTGGGTTTTGTTTCCTGATAGGTTTAAAAGCAGGTTATTTGTTCAGATACCACATGAGGCTTGTTAGTAACTACTCTGCTATAAGTGTTTTTCAGTGTGTGTGAACACTGTGGCACTCTGGGATTATTCACAAAGGTCATTATTTCTTATTACAGAATACTGCTATTGTTGTTTTTTTTTTTTTTTGTGGTACTTCATTTTATTTAGCTTAAATTGGAGAAAAGAAAGGGGAAAGAGGATCAAGATTTTAATTTAAGACAAAATTGCTTTCAACAAAAAATCATGGAAGGGAGTAAAAGTCTTTAAAGAACTGCTGATATTTGTGGTCTCCTCTGACTTTCTTTGAGCAGCACTATTATAATACAGCATTGCCTTCACACTCTAAAAGAAAAGACAGGGTTTAATTTCTCTTTTTTATCTGTTGATGACAAAATTATAGGTCTATGACAAATTTATAGCACTATTAAAACCACTCAAAAATTTTAGTACTGACATCCAGAGAACTGTACACAGAGGTGAGTGCATTAGAACGGGTGATATTTGAAAAGACAGGTTCTTTTAGATGTGTTTCTTTTCACTACCTTTATAGTTGTTTTTTTTTACATCACATTCACTCGCATTTAGGAAGTGTAGTGAAAAGCTGAGTCACCTATATTTACAGTAAGTCACTGGAAAATACAGTGACAACAGTAGTTGTGGCTTTTGGGACAAACTATGATTAGATAGTTTAGAAATATTTATTTTCATTTAGTCCCTATGGAAAAAGTTATTTTTAAGAGCTTCGCTGACGGTAAAAGACTGATGGTGTCAACATCTCCTTTTCTCTTGAGGAAATTATTCCTAACCCTCTAATGCCACCACTGACTTTTGCTTCCAAAGGCTAGTCCCTTACAAATTACCATATTCCTCAAAAGTTTAACATTCCCCTTGTTTCCTCTCTTTGTCCTTATGCATAGCAGAGGCCTCTGAGTTCTTGCAAAGAAGGATGACGCCAATCCCTTTCAATACAGAAATGTTCCCAAGGAAATGGACGGCTCCTGGACTCGAGGAAGACAAGGAGCAGAGCAGGATGTGCTGCAATACACAAAGCAAAGACTCTCTAGCAAAGGTTATGCCACCTGCAAGGGAGAGATGGACAGGATGTGACTGATGCACAGGAAGTGATGCAGGCAGGAAACATGAAAGCCAAGTAAAGAGATTTCCAAAGTAAAACAGGAAAATGGTTGAAAGGAATGAAAACTAAATGACGGGGAAAAAGATGTCGGGGTTTTGTTGTGTTTTGTTTTCATTCAGACTAAAAGTAAAACTTTGGCAAAATAACTGAGGTGTGCTTCCTAAACTGATGCAGCACGGAGAACTTTGCAGCTTAGATGTGAGGTCTTGAAGAGGCCTTCAGAAAGCCTTGTAAATTGTAAATGTCTTGTGTGCCTTTGTATGCAGTGTGCGTGACAGCTATGTCTACAAAGCATAATAAAATCTATATGTGCTTCAAAAGGATCATTTCAAATAGACAGTAATCTCAAATTTCCTTTTCTTATGATAAAATCCCTTCTGTCACAAACCCTGGACATAAAAAGAAAGATTTTGTCTCATACCAGTGAATTAATCAAATCCTGTATCCAAATTGTACCAGTGTCTTTGAGACTGAAATCAGGCTCACTGTGTTTCTCTGGGACATACTTTAACTTTAACGGGATGTAGACTGGATCTTGACATATATTATGTTGTGTTCCTGAGTTTAAAGCAGCTCAGGAGGCTGTTTATTCCTTTCAGTTGATTTCCGGTGTCACCAGTACATAACATTAATTACACAGTTATTCTATCTCCATTAGGGAGACAAACAAAACCAAAACATTTTTAGAATTGTATAACAATGTAGTTTTCAGGAACTTTATTACTGCAAAAATACAATGTCATTGTTTGCCTCAGTTCCTTCACACACAGTTTGCAAAAGCATG